ATGTTTTCTTACTAACTATTTCTTTTTTTTTTATTATGTATAATAGCTTTTCTCACCGAATCTCCCGAAACTTCCAGAACCCTCGTTAACTCCACACCAACAAATGATCTTAATGGCGTATGATCCATCATTCAAATTCAAAGATTTGGAAATGGATCTGGAGGTTGTAGGTAGGAAAGATATGATAGTGACAATTGAACGGGAAGATTTGCTTGGACTTTTGTCAGATAGTCAGCTTAGCACACTACACATTGAACTATTTATGATGTAAGTTTGTGTTTCTTTAATAAAATTAACTTAATTATCAAGTCTAGTGATCTAACACAAATACATTACTGTAGGTACCTTCATCGTTTGTGCATCACATTGGGCAAAGGTGATAAGTTTGAATTCCTTTGCCCACATCACATGACAGAGAAAGGGAATACTTCAGAGTTAAAGGCCTAGTATCTCCAGCAAAGAATATGTGAAGTCAAGAAAGATGTTTTTATGGCTCCATATGTGCACTCGTAAGGATCAATTTGTAATTAATAGTTTTTTTGATGTAGATTTACTTTAACTCGTCATATTTTACAGGGACCATTAGCAGTTGTTTGTTCTTTCAATGAAGAGCAACACTATTGTTTTCTTATGTTCCCTCCATTACAAACTTGGGAAGGAAATGAAGAAGACGATAGACTCGTAAGTATATTTGTGCAAAAATATTTAATATAATTTACACTAAATATTTTAGTTACTAACTTGGTGATCTTGAACATAGAGCAATGAAAACATATCAAAATGTGGTCTTGCAAAAGCACGGACATGAGCTCAAGGATCCTACATGGATCGAGCCAAAGGTAATGCTATACTTTATGAATATGTTCAATTACTAAGATTTTTTTTTTATTGATTTCTTATAATTTATTCTTATACAGAGCTGTAGATAACCAATGAAGATGAATTTGTGCGGCCTATATGTCATGCGACATATGCTCAACATTATCACATTGGGTATGACGGAATTTACAAAAGAGGTAAATATATTTTTAAGAGTTTTATTTTATTATGTTATTTGAGAGTACATAATAAGTTTCTTTTACAAATTATATTTTAGATGTTTGACAATTCAGATCCATTCCCTGAAGCTGAAATTGAAGACATTCACATACGTTAGGCAACTTATTTTGGGGAGAATTTGTGAGTTTTGTAAAAAGTTTTGTACAATTTAAGAAGTTTGTTAGTTATAGATAACTTTTGAAAATATTTGTTGACACAATGTTTTGGATAGCTCAATATATAGTTCTTAGATAGTTCATAGATAACTTTGAGTTTTGGATAGTTGTTTATTTAATTTTATATTGAAAATTATAAATAAATTGAGTTGTCTGATTTAGCTGTGGTAATTTTTAGCTGTGGTAAACATATTTTGTGTTTATTTTAGAGTAAATTTAAACATATGGATGTTTATTTTAAAATAAAATACACTTTTTAGCGGTTATTACCATAACCGGTGTAGAAATTAATATTCTACATCGGTTAATGAAAAAGCTGGTGTAAAATAATAAACTTTCTATAGCGGTCGGAGGGCCAACCGCTGTAGAAAGTAGACTTTCTACAGCGGTTGGGGTTCTAACTGGTGTAGAAAGTGTTTCAGTTTTTAATTTTTGAATCGTTGAACTATTTTCAACATCGGTTATAGTTAGCCGATGTAGAATATGTATTTTTTACAGCGGTCATATAACCAATGTAGAAAGCCCTATAACAACACCACCTATTTAACCGCTGTAAAAAGTTATTTTTGTAGTAGTGATTGAACAATTGTGTAGACATTGTTTGGCTACAAGTAACAGAGAATAAAGATTGTGTTGTCTTGTTGGCTTTGTTTGGATTCTTTGGGTACTTTTCAAAATGCTACCAAAGTGCTTTAGTCCCATGGTTGGAAGGATGACTCGCATAATCCATGCTATAATAGTTGCATTTGGCATGGTGCTTCCCTTTAGTTTGCTCAAGTGGCATCCTTGTAAAATGCTTCTAAGCTTCAGATCTTTTCTTCTTCCTTTTCCTAGCCGGTACTTGTTTTTGTCCCTCATTATTTGTGGCATTCTCTACTCAAGTAGTGGGACTGTGTGATGTCGCAGTAGCCTTAGTTTCAATATCACCTTCTTCGACATTTACTTTAGGGTTTAAGTATTGCTCATCCTTTTAAATTCTAAAAAATCAGGAAGCTACAATTATTCCAATCAAGCAGCCACATAATTTCATAATACAAACAAAATCACATAATTTCAAGCATAATTTCAGTCAAGCAATGTATTTATACATGTTCCCACCAATGTGGAGATCTTTAGATTATGAAACAATTCAATATAACTAAAGTAAGTTAATTAACTTATGCATCTATTCTTTTGTGGGATTCTCATGGAATCTGATGCTTCTTTGCAAGCTGGTTATAGGCACATCAACACTGCTTGGGAATATGGTGTTCAAGATATTAATTAACTACAGGTTGGACACACAAGCAGGACTGGAAATTGAAAAGGAAGGATCTGTATGTCACCTCTAAACTATGGTAATGAAATCTATTGGTGGCATATCCAATTCAGTTAAACTAATTCATAGCTAAGAGCAGAGGCAGAGTCAAAGAATCATCACTACAATGTTAATAACTTACCTAGTCTTAGCTTGGCAGGAAGACACGTACAAGTATCAAGCACGATAAAGAAGAGACGAGATCGAGTTTGAATGAGCATTGAGTAGCTGAGTTGAGCTAAGCCTCGAGTAGCCGTGTGCTGGAAACTTTGAGCCTGTGATAGTGAGTGCTGAGCTTGCGTCTCCCAATTGTGAAGACTAACAGCGTATGAAAAACAGGAGTAAGACTGAGATCAGGGAGAGAGCAAGCCAGCAAGGCAGTGAGACTAAGATTGCGACTGAGTGACTAAGCAAGATTGTGAAGAGTTTTCAGTAGAGACAGTGAAGATAAGGTCTTGAACTCCTGATAACTGAAGTGTAAGAGCAATTGAGCGAGATTTGCCTCTGCGACTATGAGAATGTGAGATTGGAGCTGTGGAGGTGTGCAACTGTGACTCTGCTCTCTACGTTTGCGAGTCTGATCCGAGTGGAACTATAGCTGCCTGGTCTACGTGAGATAATTTGCAAGGGACTGAGGGTTTTGATTTTGGCAACAAACCATAAAATGCAGCATCCTGCATCTTCACTCTTCTCTAACTCAGTGTGCTCATAAAATATAATTTGCAAATTTTTTTAATTAAAACGGGACGGGATAGGCAGCCCAATGGCTAACGCGTAGCCTGTCTCACCCGTATGTCTTATAAACGGGCTAGCCCATAATTACAGCTTACCCATTTTTTTTGTTAAATGGGCAGGTTTTTACCCGCCCATCTTCAACGTGTATAAGTGGGTTGTGCAGGTTGTAGGTTGTTTACTTAGCCCTAGCTGAAACTTACAACATAATTTTTTTTAAAAAAATTATAACATATTTTAAAATATATTGATAATCAGTGATGACACTAAAAAGTTGCCGTTGATTCTCAACTTTTAGCAGCGACAGTAAAAGTCGCCATTGAAAGTGTGACTTTTTGCGGCAACATGCACTTGTCGCCGCTGAAAGTCTAACAATTAGCGGCGACTATATCTTGTTGCCACAGAAAGTGACTATTTTAGCGGTGACTTCAAATGTCACCGTAAAAAGTCACACTTTCAGCGGTGACTTTTATTGTCGTCAGTCAAAGTTGAGAATTAACGGTGATTTTTTAGTGTCGCTGCTGAAAGTTGTGTTTTTTTTTTTGTAGTGGTATTTGATAAATATACATGACTAGAAGGAACCTTCACTATTTTGTTTTTATAGGATAGAGAGGGAAGATTATATTTATTTCTATTTATAAGACACTTTACTATTTTTTATATTTAGTTTTAGCATTTCTTAAATAATAATTTTTTTGTCCTTATTAGGAGTAGATGTGGAAACTTATTAAATTTTAACATAAAGGTAATGAAGTTTAATATTTTTTTTAAGTTTTTGTGAAACATGCTCAAAATGATTTATAAATAGAATTATTTAAATATGGATATCCATTATAAATTCATTTTTTTTTTCATTAAAGGGTGCAAAATGAGAAATTCTCATGGGTTAACCCATATACTGCCACTAAACTTGTCCATACAACCTCAAAATTATAATATAGATCAAACATGCATGCAGATTAATCAATTTCTCACCAAGTTTTCATGAAGTTCAAGTGGAAAGAAAAAGAGAATAGATCGATGGACCACCACATATTAGGTAAGACCCACCAAAAACCATCTCTTTCTCTTTCTATACCTATAAGATAATGGGCCTTCAGAGAAACCTCTTCCCAGACATTTGTGGATCAATTATCTGTCTCATTTGTATCAAAATATTATCTGTCTCATTAACACACAAGCAAGCAATTCCTTATCACCCTTGAACTTAGCTTGGCCATGTCTTCTAGGATTTGGTGAGTATCATGTGTGGCATACACGATTGCAACCGTTCGATTTAATAATGAAATAGTTATTAGAGATTTTGTTATATGATTGCTCATATATAAAGCATTAAATTTTATCTTTCAGATTAGATGATATCAAATCACAAATCAAATCAAAGGTTGTTAAAATTTTTGAAGGGGATGACGTATGTGAGAGGGATGTTCTGAAATTTTTGTAAGAAATTTATCTTGATAATTTTTAAATATTGATGAAATTTAATAGTTGTAATTAGGATATTGATTACTAAATGAGTGGATTTAGGCATCAATTTGACTATTTTGATAATGACAAAAGTACTGTATTATAACTTCAAAAACGGTAGATTTTTTAAATATCAACACTTAGTTATTCTTAGATGATTAAGTTATGCGTTCATTACTGTCATTTTCCTATTTGTATATGTCGAGACTTAATAATTTAAAACATTTGGTATAGTTAAGACGAGAAATAACAGCCTTTGATTTTAACGCTTCTAATTAATTATGCATGACTACAAGGAAAAACACGCACTCTTATAATTTTAAACAGTATCGACATGTACAATATCAAATATGGACATGTTATGACATATACAACATAAAAAGTTCTTTTCTAGTGAGAACTTGTCCCATTTTTTAGGGTTGCAACATGAGGAGATTTCAAAGATTTGACACATTATAATCTAATATTATTTTTGTCCCACACACTTTGAATGTAAGGTTCTAATGATCAATTTCGGTATTTATCTTAGTATAGGACATCACGGACATGCATTGATCAACCATCTGATTTATTAACACATGCGAGCAATTCCTTGTCAGCCTCGAACTTGGCCATGTCTTCCACTGTCAGACTAATATAGGCCTCAATACCACCACCATTCTTGTTGTCAATAAACACAACCAGATTCTTAAAAGTCAACGCAGTGGAACTTACCCACGTAGGTTTTCCCCAGCCAAAATCAGCATCGTACAGAGGAAACCTACACAAACTTGTGAAGTTAAATGAAATCATCTCTCTTTTCACAAGCACTCTGTAAGAACTATCCTTAAGGAAATCCAAGTGTTCATTTGCTCCTTCTTGGATTCTTCTCACATAGTCCTTGTCAATCTTCTTCATTTGCTCCCTTACCTGTTTTACAAACAAAACTCCATAGTTACGTTCCTCTTCTTCATCCTCTAACGTTGGAATGAGCGTCATCGTAAAACGGTAATAATTTCCAAATGAATCCGGAGGCAACGGTGGTTCCATCCTTGGACGGAGGTTGACGGCGTGGACCACCGCATAGGTTTTTTGTTGGCCCTGTGGGTCTTGTGTCCCCAACACATAACGACTCCATATGAAGGCTGATAAGGCTTCTACTCTTGAAGGGAGCTTCTCGTCGTTTTGAGAATATTTTGTCCTGAGAGCTTCAATAACTGAAGCATTAAACACAAACCTTTTGGAGATGATGTTGTCGTTTGTGATCCCAGACCGAGTATCAAACCCTGATGTGTTTCTCGGTGGGAAGAGATTAGCCGACACAAACCTATCACTGAGAAAACTAATACCAGTTGTTTAAAAAAATAAATAAATAGAGGAGATATCAAATTGGATTTTTTTTTTTTAACGTTCATATGTATTACGATCATACGATATACAAAACGTTCATATGTATTATAATCTTACATTTAGGAAGGGTTTATGAAACATATCTGTACGAGAATATTTTTATCCTTTTAACTTCATTTTTGTTTTATCTGTCTCTCTAGATATACTATATATATGTTATTCCTTTTGCAACAGAAAAAGGTTCAAATCTTCAAAGAAGTTGATTATATATGTACGATCAGATTATGTTATTTCTGTATTTCATAAGAAATTCTATTATGCATGATTAATGGTAAAAAAAAATTGACTAGACATGCTAAAAAAAATTATTTCAAACCTAAAATTTGTAAGAGATTTCAACCTTTAGTATAAGTACAGGTCAAAGTAAGAGAAAATTTGAATCCTTTGCCCTATGGGCTAATCCGTATGGATTGAGGGAAAACAGTTTTGGAAATCCAAACTCAACTCAAGCAATATTAAAAAAAAATAATGGGTAAGACAGGCCAACCCATCTGCTATATAATTATTTATTATAAATTTAAATATTTTTAAAAGTTAAATCTAATGCATACAACACACATAACCCTCCTTGGTTGGTAACTAACACAAACCTTGGACGATGATTTAAAAAGAAAACTATTGCCAGTTATTAATACAAAAGTTTGTATAAAAAAGTAACACAAAAGATTGAAATAATGAATTTGTGATATAAATATACATTTATGATACAAAAATTTTGTTTGTAAAAGAATATTTTTTTCTTTAAACCCATTCTTATTTCACTTTTATCTCTCTAGATATACTATGCAAGTAATTTTCTAACGATAAAATATTAAAATCCTAAAAGAAGTTTATTGTGTATTAGACCCAGTCTTTTCTTCATCTCTTTGTAACTCTTTGCATATGTTCGATCATGGTGGATTATTGCGTCCAGATAAAAGCTAAGTGAAAAAAATTGAAATAGTTTCTCCTCTCTAAATTCTAATAAAAGATTTATAAAAATAAAAAATAGAAAGGAAATTTTTTTATTGATAGAAAATTTGTTTAAGGCCAACGCAGTCTATTAAAAAAGAAGGCTAAAGAATCTTTTGGTCCCTACCATTATGTAAATTTTTATTTTGGTCCTTTAATTTTATAAAGTATATTTTCAATACTCTAACTTTAATACAGTTATTTTCAAATGATTTTTTTGTATGCCAATCATTGTTATTTAAAAAAATTAAACTTAATATGTTAACATTTGATAATATTTTGTCCATATTTATATTCAATGTAAAAAAAAATGTGATAAAAGTAATGGTATTAGGATTAAAAAAGACTGAAAGTATACTTTATAAAATTAAGGGACCAAAATAAAATCTTATGTAAAATTAGAGGACTAGATATAAAAGAAGAAGCACTATTGCCATTAAAAAAAATTGGAAGTATTTTGACTGTTGGTGAGTAACACAAACCTTGGATCGCTTGTGAACTCAGCTTGTCCACTACCACTAGCAACAGACGCCCAACAATTGAGAAACGTGAAAAACGACAGAGCATCTGAGATCTGATGAGAAAGACAAGCACCAATCGCAATTCCACCACACTCAAAAACATTAACCTGGACGCCAAAGGTTATCTCAGTGACCTTGTCAAGTTGAAATGGAATCAAATAGTTAAGTTCAGAAGGATTAGGGTTTTGAATAAAATCCAAAAGCTGGCCCTTCACTCTGGTTTCTGAGTATGGCACTCCCTCATCGTTGCAGTCTACGAAGGTATTGTCTATGAGTCGCCCAGCGAGAGGGTAGTAATGAGTTAAGACATAGGACAATGATCTTTTGAGGATGCCGGAAATAGTGGTGATGTCAGAAAAACCCTTTTTAGGGTTCGTACAAATATTATGAGCATAGAAGAGAACGAGAGGATTGTAGACTAATGGAGAGACTTGGTCAAGAAAAGAAAGTTGGTAACGTCGAAAATGTTGAGGTGTTGGAGACAAAGGTTTGATGATTTCTTTGGAGATTACTTCCATTTCGAACTTCATCATCATGTTGCATGTAGATGAGCGTGTTTAACTTGTGTGATTGTCTCTGTTTATGTTGTCTTTTTATAAGAGGCTATATATATATATATATAGAGGGGTTTTGCTGATATAACACACATATAAAATTAAACCAAGTAAACAGTCCGACATTTATTATATTTTGTATTATGACTAGTTTATTATATTTGTCAATAATATATTGTTATATATCAGTAATAAACTCCTTATAAATTTTTAATAATAAGCTCCTTGTATATCAATGTGAACCAGCTATACTCTCAATTTTAAAAATTTGGTCTATAATTTCTAAGCAAAAGATTTTTTTTTTTCTTATCCTATATATATTTATATATATAACATACGTGACATCCATATGACGTTGAGGTGTTGGAGACGATAGCTTCACCATTTCATGAGAGATACATCAATTTCTAGCCTCATTTTTAATTCTTAATGCTTATCTCTTTACTTTGTTGCTTCTGACTATTGACCAAACAACACCAATATAATTTATACGTATTTTTAATTTCAGTGAACCTGGTGGGTGAGGATGCCGTCATCAAGAGAGATTAAAAAAATCATGGATTTGTAGCAAACAATATCTGTCACTAAGTTGGCCAAAAAAAAAAAAATTATCTGTCACTACAATTTGTCCTTTTCTTTTTTTTTTCCTTCTTGGCCAGCGCGTTCTCTTCTTATTCACGTTTCCATCTAATTTTAACATATTAATTTCTCCTAAACGATATATGTATGTGTCATCAATAACACGAGTTAATAAATAATACACACTAGGTGTTATTTACAATATCAAACATTTTCTAAACTCCATAGTTACATGTGCGTGTGCGTGTGAGCGCAGACCATTTCTTCGCAGATTGCTTCAACTTGTAGGCTTGTAGCCTCATTTTCTTAGTTCTTATCTCATTACTGTGTTGTTTTTTATCATTGAAATTAGATGGATGGGTTTGAGAAAATCATGGATATATAGTAAACCTGTCCCTAAAATTTTGCTTGTCTGTTTTTTTTTTTTTTTTTCCTGGGACAACCTTTCCTCTTATTGTGTGTCATCTAGATCAATTGTTAATAGTTAATACACTCTCAGTGCTGTTTACATTATCAAACATGTTATAGCCGCACGTGAAGAGTGCAGTTTGTGGTTGCGTGCAAGAAAATAATATACCCATATGTATAGATTGACAAACTATTTCCTTCCGCGCGCTTACCGGCTTAAGATCGAACTATAGTTAATTATAGTAATATACCCATATATACCCATATGGAAGGGAACGTAGTAAGGATCTATTGATTACTTTATGTAGATCAATATTCCCTTAGGTTGCACTTGGATAGGTGAATTTGAGTTGAAAATTTAGATTTAAAATCTCATATTTGAAATCTCACATTTGAAACTTATAGATTTTAAATTTTTTATTTGGATGATATACAAAAATTCAAATTATAATATTAAAATTATTTGTTTGGATATTAAATAAATTTCTAAATTTTAGATTCTATGTTTGAATTTCAAAGCAACTCCAACAACATTGGCAATCTAGTCCTTGTCAAAGTCAATGGTCTGGATGGCTGACTTTCATCGAGACCAAACTATTGATGTCTATTGGGATCAAATGAAAAACATTCACCGACACCGTCCGATCTCGATAAAAGTTAGCCATCCTGTCTCGGTCGTTGCTTGTACTCCAGTCCTAGTCTAATGCTGGTGGAAGTTGATCATCCAGTCCTAGTCATTATCGGCAGTCTAGTACTGGTGGAAGTTAGTTGTCCAATCCTAGCTATCACCTGCACTCCAATCTTGGTCGATGCTGGCAGTTCTGGTCTTGATAGAAGTCAGTCGTCTAATGTCAATGAAAGTCAGTCGTCTGGTCCTGGTGATGGTAGTGATTTAATGCCTATGGAAGTCAATAGTTTGGTCCAGGTCATTGCTTGCATTTTGGTTCTGATTGACATTGATGCTTAGGCCCTAGTCATTGTTGATGATCTCATCTACGTTGGTACCGTCAGTTCAATCCCTATGGAAGTCAGCCATTTAAGCCAGGTTGGTGTCAACCATCTGGTCCCAATTGACAACAATGGCCTAGTCTCGGTGGACGGTGGTAACAATCTAATCTTGGTCTACATTGGCAATTTGGTATTGTTTAGTGCCATTGATGGGCTAGTCAAATTACAAATATATTGATTATGATTGAAATAATAAGGGTTTAGAAAGGATTCAAATTACAAAGAGATTGAGGTGTAACTTGGATTTGATCCATACTTTTTTAATTAACTAAACAATGAATTTGGTTCAAATCCAAATTCAAATCCCCAAGCATCCAAACATAGCATTAATTTTATTTATAAGTTATTTCTAACATGTTTTATTGGAATGAAAGAAAACATTAAACTTCATTAATTTTGTCTAAAAATTCAAATTATAATGTTAAATTTCTTTGTTTGGATATTAAGTAAAATGTTTGGATATTAAGTAAAATGCTAAATTTTAAATTTTATGTTTGAATTTTAAAGCAACTTAGACAACGTCAATAGTTTGGTCCTTGTCAAAGTTGATAGTCTGGATGGTCGACTTTTACCAAGAACTACTAGTATCTATTAGGATCAAATGGAAAACATTCACCAGCATCATTCGGTCTTGATTATAGTCAAATGTCCTGTCTCAGTCGTCACCTATACTTTAGTCCTAGTCTAATGTCGATGGAAGTTAACCGTCCAATCCTAGTCATCATTAGCTATCTAGTGCTGGTGGAAGTCGGTTGTCCGGTCTTACCATCACTTGCACTCCAGTCTTGGTTGGTGTGCCAGTAGTTTTGGTCCTGATGGAAGTCAGTTGTCTGGTCCTAGTTGATACCGGTGATCCGGTGCCTATAGAAGTTGGCAGTCTGGTTTGGGTTATTGCTTGCACTCTGGTTCAGGTTAGCACCGGTGCTTAGGCCCCAGTCATTGCTGATGATCTCATCTAGGTTGGCACAGTCGGTTCAATCTCGATGGAAGTCGGCCGTCTAATCTAGGTTGGTATCAACCATCTGGTCCCAGTTGGCGACTATGGCCCAGTCCTGGTGGACGATGGTAGCAGTCTGATCCTAGTCTATGTTGGCAATTTGGTCCTGTTTGGTGCTGCTGATAAGCCAGTCAAATTACAAAAATATTGATGTACGATTTGAAATAATAGGAATTTAAAAAAATTTAAATTACAAAGAGATTGAGGTGAAACTTGGATTTGATCCATACTCTTTTAATTACCCAAACAATGGATTTGGTTCAAATCCAAATCTAAATTCAAATCCTCATGCATCCAAACATAGTATTAATTCTATTTATAAGTCATTTCTAACTTGTTTTATTGGAATGAAAGAAAACATTAAGCTTCATTAATTTTTGTCTAAAAATTCAATATGTTTTCAACTTTTCCTTATATTAAATATATTGATTTTAATATTCTAGCATTTAATAACTTTCTTAACTTTTAAGAGGGGCAAAAGAGTAATGATGGACACCTGCAATAAGCATTGAGATGCCATATAAATATAGAACTAAAACAAATACTCTCTTTATCCTATAAATAGAACTTGCAGAGTAATTTAGTTAAAAATAGTTGGAAGTTTTTAAAATTTTAAAATTAGTATCAATGCATTTTTTTCATTAATTATAGGAGCTGAGGTTGTTTAGTTACTTAGGAGCCTGCATATTTTAGTGGGGAAATGATATTAAAGGACCGAAATGTTGAAATAAACTTAAACAAAGACCAAACAATTTGGGAATCAGAAACATTGAGGTCCAAAGGTCCATTAACGAATTGGTTTAAATGTTTGCTACTCACATTTCATAATTTGCGACCATCAAAACAAAAATTTGCAAGTGACATTTGTTAGTTTAAAAAAATAATACCACTTCTATTTTGAATGGATGGTTTTGCTGATAAAATAAAAATATACCTGCTAACTCTTCATAACCGCATTAGGGTTGGAGCTTAAAAATTGGGCTTTATTAATTATAACAAGAGAATGAGTAATTAATGAAATTAAACATATGTTCTTGACTAGAAAGAGCTAATTAAAGCACATTTAGAACCCTAGCATTTATTTTCATTAGAATTGTATGAGAGAATGTAATTTTAATGTTATAAAATGAAAGGACAAATACATAATCCTAGGTCTTATTACAACCCATGCACTTGTTAAAAGCGCAAACAAATTGTTATCGTTAATATAGGGTACTCTGTCTTAACTTTAGCTAACTTTTGGCCTTTTGGGATGCATTTATGTCTAACTGGTATCTTAACTTTTTCATAATATATAATGTATCTTTCTCGCTTATGCTATGTAATATCCCAATTTTTATTTATAAAATTTAAGAAATATTCATATATGATTTATTAAGTAAATTGAGGATTAAGGCAAATAAGTTATGTTGTATGAGGCATAGAGACACATAAGAATGTGATTTAATAAAATAAAATATGAAATTGAGAACAATCTTGATCAAGATAAATTGATTCTAATTGTACTTTCAAAGCATCAAATTATTATTTTATGATGAAATACAAAAATTAAAAGTAGTAAATATTTATAAGCAGTGAATTGAATTTAATGCAATTAATTCATGGTAATTGGAATTTATCATATAATTATTTGAGTAGAAAGAACTTATTTTAAATGAGATTAAATAAAAATATGTAAATTATTTCCCATTTAAGAAATCATATTCATATAAATATTAAAGAAACTGTGTTTGAGCAAAATACATTATATAATTTTTGTTTGAGCAAAATACATTAGTAGAGTTTAATTTTTAAGATGTTAAAAGAGTCTTATAAAAAAATTAATTATAATATGTATGATTAAATTTTCTAGAAAGATTATTAAAGGTTATGGTAAAAAGAAAAGGAAAAAAAAGGAAAAAAAACAAAAAAAAATGTGGAGCCTACACTATTATTAAATACACACCTCGCTTCATCCATCTCTGCCCTTGCATTTTCCTCTCGCCTTCTCTTCTCTTTCAGGGAACTGGTTTCTTTGCTCGTCT